GCAGGACAAAATACGAGTTGGATATTCTTGCAGTCCATGTACCTCAAGCACATCAGCACGGCGGGAAGCACTTTCCCCTCTCACAAGTACAAGCTTGCAGTCCCCTCAGAAACTCTTCCAGTGTTTCTCCGGGTTTTCCACCCTTGTTTTCTACACAAACATGCAGCTGCAAATCCCAAGTGAAAACCTCAGCTGCTTCATTTGCAGTCAGCTCCCAAGGAAGTACCTCTCTTAATGCCCTGTTGCTTTCTTTCCCAGGGCTCTCAGCTTGGGACTGTATCTCCTGTTGCATGGAACAGTTTGCTTCCTTTACTTTCTCATTTCGTGATCATCAGATGTGGTGAGCTCTGTGACTGTCTCCAGCTCCAGAATTGCCTCTCGCCATACAAATACCAGCAGCACTGCCATGTGGCACTCAGGTGGTACTTTCATCTCTGAAGGTTCCTGAGCAATTGGCAGCCTGTGTTTCCTTGCCCATGCACAGACTGTTTCTTTAATAGCTTTTCCTTCCTGCTCTCTCTTATTTCTTAATAAATGACGCTTGCATCCCTGAAATGGAGAAATTCCCAGCAGGAGCCAGGGGGGCAGGTTGGATTAGCACACTGGGAAGGGTTAGCTGCTCAGTAGGAAATGGTTAGTGTTTTCCCCTTGGTGCATCACAGAGTGGAACAGAAAACTATTGATCCCACGCACCTCCCAAAGGACTTTTAAACAGCCAGATATTTTTGCCCCAATGTGCTGGCTCCTGAGGTCTGTTTTAAATAGTGTGGGACAGTTCCTGTGGGCAGGAGCAAAGATGGTTTTGTGGTGAAGTCACTTGGCAAGGGCAGCATGTTCAGGTCCTGACCCTGTTCCACTCTCTCATCTTCTCTTTGCAGGTCCAAGCTGTGCCTTCTCCCTCTCCTTGCAGCTCACAGCTGTGAGTGTGCATGCTTGGCATGCAAACAGTGCTAAAAATAAATCTACTGGGAGAAAAACAGAAGGTGAAGAGCTACATTTTCATTAACAGCATAATGTACTGTATTAGAAAATTGAGCAACCAGGTGCTAATCTGAAAACACCTTTGCATTTCATCTCTAATCACTAACTCATCCTCCCTCCCAAAGGATCAAGTTCCCCACAGGGAGTCTTTTCTGAGAGATGTCACTTGTTTCATGGGATAAGAAAATAACTCAATCCCATCCAAAGATGTGTAGTCTCTGACACTCAAGCCTGTGCATTGCAATTTGTTGCTTTTACTCATCCGGAGTTGATTTTGTGCATTTTCTTCATGTCACAGTAGCCATGTCTCTAACTTTAAAACACCACCCTTCAGCAAAAGCTGTAGGTACCAAGAGTAAGTGTCTAAACCTTGCATAAAACAATGCAGGACAAAGACAGAAATACTGCAGTCAAAGCACTTGACAGAAATCAGTGATTGTTTTGGGGTTTTTTGGTGTGTTTTTTTCCCTCCTGCTGTCAGGAACTGCTGTGGGCTGTGAGAGATACTGCAGTGACAAACTGGACTCCTGTGCAGATCTCCTGCCTCATCCTCTCCTTCTGGGTCACCCTATGGTAGACTGACACAGCCTGGCTGCTAACTGCAAATGACCTTTGATGCAAAATATTTTGTGAGAATGAACGAGATCCTTCTTGTTGCTGCTTTTGCCAGCCTGATCATGAAGCTCAT